GCCGATTTTCTCGAAAACAAAGCCTCAAACGAAAAATTTTTATTCTATATTTTCGACTTCTTTTTTCGCGTAGAATCACCCCCTTTCCGCTTGTACCACCAGTTACCAACCACCCTGTATATTTTGATGTTGTCTGTAAGATAGACAGGTAAATTTTAACGAACGAAACGAATGAAAAAATGATGACTGGAGAAGAAAAGAGTACTCAGGCGCCATGATAGTAAATACATTTCAATATTATTAGCAATGCTAATTAGCAATTTTATAATTTTTCCATATTACTATATTGTAACATGAAAAATTTCCAACTTGTCTTGATTTAATATTCGAGGATATTCGTACAAAAATGTCATGCGATATATTTGCAAACTTTTATGTTTAAAATCTTACAATTTTATGCATAGGTTTTACCAGCGGTGCATATCGTCATGTCACTTGACGCAACAGATTCAAATAGGCGAACGCAGTTTTCATTACCTGGAATACCGATCATTTCCATATGGATTGAATACTTTACAAGGACAGAGATATGTAAATGCATGACTTACATCACCGAATGTATTTATGGACATGTGAGTTATTTTCCCAGCTGTGATTTTAATTGCAGAATTGGATCTTGTGATGATCAGAATCAAATCAAATATGTCTTTGTTAGGCAAATAATACCACTTTGTCATATATACCACATCGCCAAATTTTTTGCTCTGTTAGAGATTTGGAACGTCGATTACACTTCGAATTAATTATACTTAAGTTATCAGATTATTTTATCTGTTACCTGTTCCGTCAATATATCACCGATATAACATACTGTAAAAATATTGAAACTCATGGACGCCATTATCATGAAATACGTAGTCAGATTCCGAATATCATGTTCGGCCCATTCCTGAAAAAACGAGTATTTTACTATTAATTGAATCAACTACCTACGTCCTATGGATTATGGAATTCGAAAAGTCCCAAAGTAAAAGAATCGCAATTAAAATTATTGCAATATTCAAATACAAGTTACTTGAATTAATAAAAAAAGTGTAGCGGCACTCGACAGTAAACTTTCTAACGGTTTCTGTCCCGTGACTCGCTATACAAAGACCCCATCCTTCGGACAAGATGATTGCCAAACCTAACCTAACGTAAGCACCCGCTATAAACCTTAGGATTTCCCTAACTAAGGTTCTTCAAACGAGTAAATAGTCTTTGTTTTAACATTCCCTAAGGTTTATTACATACTACAGAAGGATACGGGAAATATGGTTTTTCTCACGTACGATGCTTCCCGCTAGCAACTTTCTCTCGAGGGTGGTTAGCCTTTCTCAACCATCGACTTAGAGATCAACCAATTAGCAGCAACGTCCATTTCCCTCACTTTCCTAACGAAGATTTTCCTCGACGAATCCGATGATCTCGTATTCTTAGACACAGCCTCTGAGACACTTTTCTTCTGTAGCGTCATCGTGACAGAAAGTCAGTCGAGTCTAGAGTCGATAGTCGTTAGTCAGCAGTCGAATCGTTAACCGACAGTCGATAGTTGAGCAATCATCATCCGAACTAGCTTCGCGCACTCTGAATCGCTATCGTAACGCAAGAAGTCGAACTTGTATCCGCGAAGCGCAAACAGCTATTTGTTAACAAATATATTGTTAACCAATCACAAGTGATTCTTCAGCACCTATCACGATCTAACCTCAAAAGTATCACAAAGTAAAAGAAATTTTGGGCCATTTGAGCGTTTAAATAAATTATAGTCACCATAGAAACACATAAAAGTAAGCACATGTTATATTTTTTATCTTTACGTACCGTAAGAATGTAATATCCGAGCATGGATATATCAAGCTTGCTTTTTAACAATTCCATGAAGCAGAATTGTGTCAATACGTTTTCGATACCTGCTATCAAACTGCAATCGACGTGCACATGAAAAACTCCGCACTAAAATCCCGACAAAAATTGCAGAAATATATCTTACCTGAGAATTCTGAGATGATGTTCAACGATCTCACCTATTTCGTTAAACTCAACACTTTTTTTCTGATCTTCCGATCGATTCACAAATTCGTTGATCCATCTCATCAGGACAGTCAGTTGACCATAGGCGTGAGCTGTGAATACAGCACCAATGCTGATAATGGCAACGGCGCTCGAATTTACAATAAATCCAGATATAAATTGCGTGGCGAGGACAATTTCGTTCATTGGACTGCTATCAACGGGAATTAAATTCTTATACGCAGCACAAGGTAACATGCGAATAATTCTGGTTTCGTTGGCGATCTCGATGGTTTGAGTGGCGAACGCTGTCACCACGCAATATGTTAAGACGCCACCTTGCATGAAAGTAGCACAAAAAGCCGCGATAAAGCGGCCAATCCTCGCGTATTTCATCATCACTTGTGAATCTTCCGGTCTCGTTACTATCTTCCAATCAGTTTGCACGTGATGTATGCAATCACGAATCTCGTTGCTTCGTAGCAATAAATTGGTGTAATTGATGCCTCCGATAAACCAATGACTGAGCGGACCAAACACCTTCAATTTCATGTAAATACTTTCATCTTCCAGAATAAAGTGGAATATGCAAGGGATCACGGTAAACAATATAAAGCCATAACAGAGAGCGATTAAAATAAACGAAATGATTCTCTCGCGTCTCGACGTTGATGTGGACGCAGGCCAGGCACCTATTGATATTAGTAGCCATCGATTAAACTGCAAACTGTAATCCCCCAGACTATCAAAAGTTTTTTCTACTACCGCAGACTTATTCGTCATCGTGACCACTAAAGTTGTGGGGACGACTGAATCGGATATTTTTCATGAAACGAGTAAATGCATCAGGTTGTATAACGCTTGCGCATTGTTCACCGAACGATTGTAAGCGGGTCGATTCGTGTAGTCAGTCTCTGCAACCAGTTGCAGCGGTACACACAAATGTGAAGGTTTAGAAGTTGTTGACAACCATTTGGTGAAGTGGAAGCCTCTGTACGGTTTAGTGGATCTATTATATTTAAAATATGGGAAGATCTATGGAATTCTTGGTGGAGTGTTTGGAAATACAAACGATTTCACTAAATTTTCTAAATACTAAACACGATTTGCACAGGTAATTCAGAAAATGCTATGATATAATTAGAGATTAGTGTAATAAAGATTATGAGTTGACAGAGTTGACTATATTAGGGTTATTTTTTGAACAATAATCGGCGGAAAATTGATATCCACTTTCGAAGATGGTCAGAATGGATGGTCAGAAGATGGATACAGTATCTATGCATATTTATGTACTGTGATTTACTTATTCTAAATAATGGAAAATCATATACGTTTTGTTTTATTTGTTTAATATTCCAATTCTTTTTCCTACAGCTAGAATTTGTTTCGTGATATAAGTTGGGTTTATTTTTCAATATATTTTAGCAAAGGTGTATAAGAAATATCTCATGCATAAAAGTTACACGAATACAAACAATATTGTCAACAATATTATTGCCAGTATCTATACTTAGAATCGTAAAAACTTGTGCAGTATAAACTATACTTTAAGATTATATTTTATTACGTCACTTGACGTAACAGGTTCAGATACGTGAAAGCAGTTTTTATAACCTGGAATAACAATGATTTCATGAGGATAAATATGTAGATAATGTGTACAGTAGAACTTCATTCATTGAAACGAAATTTTACTGTCTGATTAAACGAACTTCCGTCGTCTGACTTCACTTATAGGAACGAAAATTTCTATCATTCGAATAAGAGATCATCGACAGTCAAATTTTATATTTTAACTCTTTAATAAATTCAGATAGATGGTGTTCCAGCATAAACGGAAATATCAAGTAGGCTTACAGTACTGAACGTTTGAATGGACATATGAATTATCTTCCCTGCGGTGATTTCAACGACCACACTCGACCGCATAATGATTAAAATCAACTCAAGGATTCTCTTTTCGGTTAAGTAGTACCAATTTGCCATATACACTACGTCACCAACTTTTCTGCTCTGTTAAAAATTCATTCGGTTAATATTCATTATGGCTTTGATCTATTACATTATTTATATTTTTATTATATGTTATATTATTATTATTTTTATTATATATTTCAGTACCTGTTCCGTCAATGTTTCACCGATATAACATATTACAAAAATGTTGAAACAGATTGAAGCCAGAAGCATGGAATAGGTGGTCAAAATTTGAATATCGCTATCAGACCATTCCTAAAATATGTAAAGAGAATGCAACGACCATACACAGAAAGGACTTAATAATAAAATAAATTTTATAGTTGATTACTTTAATAAGTCCTCTTTAGTTTAATATATTATAATGAGAAATATCAGTGATTAATATATACCGTAACAATGTAATAGCTGAGCATACACATATGCAGGGTGGATCTAAGCACTTCCAAGAAGAATATTCGATTTACCGTCTCCTCGATACTCGATACAAAACTGTAATTGGAACATAGGAAAATTACAAAAATACAAACAAGAACATATAAGAACGATATAAAACAGAATACCTCAGCGTTCTCAGATGACGTTCCACGATAATCCCTATGTTCTCAAATGGTGCTATTTTCTCTTTTCTCGATTCATTTACAAATTCTGTGATCCATGTCATAACAACATTCAACTGGCCACACGCGTGAGCAATTAGAACAACCGTTATACTGAGAATCCCTAGTGTACTAGAACTTACGATGAACCCAGTTAAAAATTGCATAAAGAGAATAATCTCATTCGTAGGACTTTCATTGATATCTATCAATTCTTTGTATATCACGTATGGCAACTGGTGCACGATTCTCGTTTCATTACCTACTTGGATTACTTCTGTGCTCAACGCTGTCATGAAACAATAACAAAAAACACCACCTTGCATGAAGGCCGCTGTTGAAGCCGTCACATAGCGACCAAATTTCGCGCTCTTCAGCATCACTTGTTGATCCTTTTCCCTCTTCACTGTTCTCCAATCTGTTTGCATATGCTCGACGCAATATCGTATATCTTTACCTCGTAATAACAGAGTAGTATAATTGATGCTACCAACGCACAAATAACTCACAGGTCCAATCAGCCTTAGTTTAATACGAAAACTTTCATTTTCCAGGATTATGTGGAGTAAACAGGGGATTATAGTGCAGATTAAAATGATATAGCAGATGACGATTAAAACGAAGGACATGATTCTTTCGAGTCTCGAAGTAGAGGGAAAAGAAGGCCACGCACCGATCGGTTTTAGGAACCAGCGATTTAATTGAAGACTGTAGTCGCTACGGCCATCAAAGTCGATCTTTATAGCCACAGTTTTGTTCGTCATAGTGGTAACTCATCGACGCTGTAAAAACAACTGAATCGAGAATAGCCTGCACCGCGTGTGCCAGTGAACCAGGATTTCTTAACGCTTGCGCAGCTTTCTCAGAATTATAAATTGTACATGCCGATCGATTTGTCTAGTCAGTCTCTGTGCCACTTGTTGAAGCAGTGTAAGTTACTGAATACGTTTAAAAGTTGTCGACAGTTCAAAAGATGTCGCGTGACGTAGATGATGCATACGCAAGGAGAATTATTCGTGCGATATACGGGATTGAATTGGAAGTATAGAAAAATGTATATTTCTCGAATAATGTAGGTTGGATTAATTCAGTCATTTCAGGACTCAAATATTTCAAGATTCTTTCTAAGCTACATTCGTGTGTTATTACTCTATTGCACTAAATGAATATAATAGCATGATTGATTTTTAAGTAAATTTCATTATCATGTGGAGATAAAAATTCGCTTAGTTTGGCTCTTCGCTTTATCAGCACAAAATAAAACACTCAATTTTCGTGACAACGATGGGGAACTTCTCCAGGAAGGGGTTAATGGAGTATTCGAAAATTACAAATAATCTCATGGATGGAATTGCTATTTTTTAATACTAAGTGCTGAAGGTCAATTTTTGGTTGTGTTTTACATTATTCGAAGAGTACTACAAATAAAAATAAGAATTAATGTAATAAATAGATTGCGCATATTTATGTAAATTCATATTTTCATTACATCTATTATACATGTGTATTCGTATATCGATTATATAAGCCGATATCGTCTTTTACGAAAACGAGTGCATATACAGGGTGGTTGGTAACTGGTGGTACAAGCGGAAAGGGGGTGATTCTACGCGAAAAAAGAAGTCGAAAATATACAATAAAAATTTTTCGTTTGAGGCTGTGTTTTCGAGAAAATCGACTTTGAACTCTCGCTCGGAACGCGTGCACTTTACCACGTCTCGTTACAACGGATCTCACTATAGATCGTTGTCTCGATGGAAAAATTAAAAAAAATAAAAAAATAAAAAAAATTTTTATTCTATATTTTCGACTTCTTTTTTCGCGTAGAACCACCCCCTTTCCGCTTGTACCACCAATTACCAACCACCCTGTATAATGATGATACGACTAGAAATTGTAAACCGTATGAATTGTTGCTGATTCTTCTACTTAGAGTTTTCGAAATTAGAGTTTCGAAAGGCAATTTTACTTCCATATTCATACTTACTGTATCATGATTCGATTTTATTTCACATTTCTCTATAGTTTCACGATTGACGTTTTCTAATTTTGATTGTTCAAATTAAAAAGCAATTCTGATTACGGTTGAAATTCACAATTTCTGACATCAATTTTTAACATAAAAATTATATACAATATACGTAGGTATATTTCATTCTTTATATATAAAATTTTTTAAAACGCTTTATACTTTTTCTAGGATTCCATTTTATCTCGTCATTTGCTGTAACATATTCAAATACGCGAAACCTGTTTTTAATACCTGAAACGGTAGAATACTCGAATGAATAGACAACACGAGCATAAGTGCAAGTATCGAATTAACTTACATTACCGAACGTATAAACGGACATCTGAATGAATTTTCCTGCAGTCAAATGAACAACCGTACTCGATCGCGCGATGATCAAAATCAAGTCTAGGATTACTTTATTGGGTAAATAATACCAGTTTGTCATATAAACCACTTCACCAACTTTTTGGCACTGTTAAGAATTTGTTCGATTACTTATGATCACGATTTTGATTTTTAACATTTATACTATTTCAAATTAATATTCATATCGCTTGACATTAATATTTTAATATCAAAACTACAAACGACTGAAGTATGAAACCTTTTAACAAAGGAGTCCAAATGAAAGATATACAAAGAAATCATTCAAATTATCAAAATCATAGTCTTGCAAATCTATACATTTACTATACAAGATTATGAATTATTCCTTTTAGTTACTGTGGTAGTTTTAATGTTAACGACTCTCAAATACCTGCTCCGTTAATATTTCACTGATATAACATATCACGAAAATGTCAAAACAAATTGAAATGAGCATCATAAAATAGGTAATCAAATTCTGAATATCCTGGTCAGCCCATTCCTAAAAATGAAAATGAAACAATAATATGCAAAAATGGATTCTCGAAAGAAATAAATTAGTAATAATAATAGAAATACATTTGACAAGTACCGAAAGAATGTAATAGCCAATTACGCAAATATCCATCGTGGATCTGAACATCTCGACAAAATATATTTTGAACATCACATCCTCGATACACGATATAAAACTGCAATTAACACATAATGTAGTCGCGAAGTTCACTCCTACAAAGCCAACAAGAAAAGAAATAAAAAAGTACACCTTACTTCAATGTCCTCAGGTGTCGTTCCACGATCATTCCAATTTCGATAAAATTGCCAGTTTTCGTCCTTTCTCTGGCCTTATTAACAAATTCAGTGATCCATACCATAATTACGTTCAACTGACCGCACGAGTGTGCAGCTAGCACAGCTGACAGACCAAAAATCCCACTTGTACTAGAATTTGCGATAACAGTGGACCACAATTGCAAGAGAAGCATAATTTCGTTTGTCAGACTATCATCGACGTTCACCAGCTTCTTGTATACTGCACAAGGTAACAAGTGTAAGATCCTCGTCTCGTTTCCAACTTGCATCTCCACTGTACTTAATGCTGCCGCAAAAAAAAAGCACAAGACGCTACCCTGCACGAAAATGACGGAAAAACCCGCTATGTAGCGGCCTAATTTCGCGTTCTTCAGCATCACGTTTTTATCCTCCTCTCTGGTTACTGTTCGCCAGTCAGCTTCTATATGTTCTATGCACTGTCGTATATTTTTGCCATGTGTTAACAAAGCTGTATAATTAATGCCGCTGAAGATCCAATGGCTCACGTAACCGAACATCTTCAATTTGAAGTTAAAGCTTTCGTCTCCTAGAATCATTAGCAGTAAACTAGGAATCACAGCGAGAATCACAATGCTTAAGCAAACGATGTTTAAAATAAACGAAACGATCTTTTCGAGTTTTGTCGTGGAAGCAGACGATGGCCAAGCGCCGATTGATTGTAAGAACCATCGATTCAGTTGAAGACTGTAATCGCTGTTGCTGTTGCTGTCACTTTCTACGATCACTGCTTCGGTCATCATCGCGGAATGAAGCCGTTGTTAGAAATCAAGCATTTACATATACAGGATGTCTGTAGAAGTTCAACGCTTGCGCGGGTTTTTTATGTTCTTGTTCGACTGATCGATTTGTCTAGTCGGTAGAATTTTCTTAGAATACTGCAAAGTTATATACGCATGGAAATTATCAGCTGCAATTGTGTGAAATGGTTGATGTAGATGCAATGAATCATTCTTGTTTCTAACTTTCAGGGTGTATGTTTAGTAGCAGATGGATACGTAATCGTGCTATGTGCTAGGAAGTTGTAGTTGAAGGTGTTTTAATTTGTGCTTATGATTATGATAAATTTCATGATGAGTGATATAATAATTTGAGATTATTTATTTTTATATTTTTCTAAAATCTAACGTGTGTTGTGACTGCTTTTTAAGGAAAACGGAATACGGAATATAGGATTCGTAGAAATCCTGCTGCACTGAACGCGCGAAATTCTTTATTATATCATAAAAATATTCAGCGCTTTACAAATACAATAATTGATCATTTAATGTAAGTACTTTATTTCTGGCCTTGTCGATCATCAGTGATGATAATATTTCATTGAAAAGTCACTCGTGACAGTCAACATGTTACTCATGCGATATAATACATTGCGGTATCACATTGAAAATAACAACGAACGATTATTCTCCTGCTTTTTGATGCGGTATGCAAATGCTTTATAACATCGTGCGGATCATGTTGAGGTACGCGAAAGAAGTTTTAAACACCTGAAAGACAGAATATACATGAATTTGTATTAAATATATAAAATTCTACATTAGCTATTATCTATTAGCTATTAGTTATGCATTAGTTGTTAATTGTATTAAGAATTCTGTCCATTATATCATAAGTATATATATATATTTTATCGATACTTACGACGCCAAAGGTCGTGATAGATATTTGTATGAATTTTCCAGCAGTAATTTTGACCACCATACTCGATCTTGAAATAACCAGCACTAAACCGAGAGCAGTTTTGTGAGGTAATCGGTACCATTCAGTCATATAAACTTTCTTCCCAACTCTTTCGCCCTGCCGTGTATTTGATAGTTTGAGATTTAATATAAATACTTCTTTATTGTTACTTTCTTACCTGTTCAATAACTATTTCTCCGATGTAACAGAATATGAATATGTTAAACACCATGGATGCATACACGATAGCATATACGATTCTCATATCTTTCGATTTTTCCTGTGAAATTGAAATATATGTATCGTATAAATAGATATGTGAGTTAAGTAGAACAGACAACGTATGAGTCGCGGTCCTGTATTTTAACGCTAATTTATTTATGTTGAATCATTTTAGCTCTAACTAGATGATATTATAGAGAAATATTTCTAAGTTGTTTTGGTAAATATACACAAAAAGGAAGTCACCACCGATTTGAATGATTTTTAAATATGTTGAGTGCTGAGTGTATGAGCTTTTTCCCTGTACATGTGAAGTTGTTGGTCTTAGCCTCCGAATTGGATTGAGTCAGTACTAATATTAACACTTTGACTTCCGTGTAAAGTTATTGGCAACTTTAAACAGTAGCCGACGTTTTTTGATAAAAAATTTCAAATTCGTAATCTCTACGTAAAGGGTCAACTTGCGCGTGATACCAACGTTGTGTCACCGGACACTAAAATTTGGCCTGCATTTCACAACACGTTGGTGCCATCGGACGTGAAAGTGTTAATCGCTTTGTCGGTATTTATATGAACAATGTTAATATGCTACCTTACGACGTAACGCGGTGGTCGGATTAGTATTATTATTAACCCAATCCAACTTTAAAATTATGGTCGACCGATAGTATATATGTTTGCATATAACTCCAAAACTCAGGCTGATCGGTGGATATATATAGTGGCTCTCTTTTTGTGAATATTTACCATTATTTTTTTAGTTTGTTTTAAAACATACCGTGAGAAAAGAATATTTGATTATGCACATGTTTATCGTACATCCCACCAACTCAACGAGACATATCATGTTCATAACTTTTTCTATCGAGGCTATGAGACTGAAAGTAATATTATCGTCATATGTATTCATCATAAAAAATTCATCACGAAATATCAATACCAAATAATAAATATATGTATACATCCATCATAGAAAATTAATTTAATATAAAAAAAGTAGCTTAGACATGATTGAATTATTTTGTGATGCTGTTACATTAATTTCATGTTTCTTTTATTTAGCATCTAAATTGAATGTCTTACTTGAATTCTTAAACCTTAACTATTCGAAAAAGATGAATTATAAGTACAACTAATAATCAATAGAAGAATTAAATAACAGTATATCCTACAAGATATCGTATTCAATAAATGAAATATGTGTGACTACACGATAACTCGCGATATTATCATATTTTGCAAATCTTGACTGGAATTCAAATATACAACAAAAAGTAAAAAAAGAAAATAAATAACATAGTCTCATTGATGTTATCAAATAATCTATATCAGTAAATGAGACATATATGCGCAAATAACAGCACAATAACCAGTAAAGACCTTAATGTTCGCAGGTGATGTTCAACAATAATACCAAGCTTCCTCTGAGCGACCGTCTGTGCTTCCTGTTTCTCCTCGACTTTCGTATCCACCAAATTATCCAACCTGGCCACCACCATATTCAATTGACCACTTGCATGCATCGTTAGAACAGCTGCCAAACCACAAGCTCCCACCGTGACAGACGTCACGATGAAGCCAGAAAGGATTTGCAGGACAAACACGATCTCATTCGCCGGACTAAATCTAGCGTCCAACAAATTCGTATAAACCGGACAGGGTAACGGATACATGAAATAACTGTCATTCCCAACGAGAAACATCATCTTCTTAAAGCCTTTAGTTATGCTGAAGGCCAGAACGCCACTGTGCATACAGAATGCAGCTATGAAAGCGATGAAACGTCCGACCTTCGCGTACTTCAGCATCATTTCACGACTGCTGGCATTTTCAACGACCTGCCAGTCGCGTTCCACGTGTTTTATGCAACGGATTATGTCGTCGGTTTTCGACAAAAGACAACAGTAATTCAATTCTCCCATCAGCCAATGACTCACTGGACCAATGATCTTCATTTTCATCCTCGAGCTTTCAGCTTCATACACGATGTGCAATATACAAGGTACGATTGTGAAAATGATCAACGAGTGGCAGATAAAGTTCAACAATTTTGCGAATAATCTTTGCGTTCTGTTTGTCTTAGTAAGCTTTGGCCATGCTCCTATTGGTTGCATTAGCCAACGATTTACTTGGATGCTGTATTCGTAATCATGAGCGTAAAAAGCGTTGGATATCGGTGGTTCGCTGGACACGTCCACCATGATTACTTCGCGCAGGTTGTTTGTTGACTGAATTACTCAAGTTTCAGGTACAATGCCATGGTAAAATAGCGCGTGCGCGAATTTTTTCACGACCCCGTATCGCCGTAGTGCAGCTGTTACCTTTCAAAGGGTTCGAGCCCTTCTAAGTTCTCAGTCAGAGCTTATACCACTTTATGCATTATTTACGACTTTTGTACGACAGGATTGATGACGTTTGAGGGTAATCGATTGATTGATTTTTTCAGGCCACAATAGTGCACTAGTGTGTTGTCTGTTTCGCAGTAGGTTGAAGGGATCAATTTCTAGAGGATGAATTCCCATTCGAGGAAATTCCTCATATTGTTTCTTCGTATCGCGTCAGATGTAAGTACTTCTGTCACAACTTTATTAAAACTATTCAGGAAGGAAATATTACCGAATGTCTAGTTGAGCGAGGTTATTCTTTTCGAATTTATAACGGAACGAATTTAAGAAAACTGTAGACTGAGAGTTATTTCGCAATATCGATAAAGTTTCCTATTTAAACTAAAGCGATATTGAAGTACACAAGTTCCGGTACTTCAACAGGATTAAAATTAATATAAAATATTAATCGCATTTGGATACTTAACAACATAAGGGTATATTGTATAAATAACAGTTCAAATAAATTTTTGTGCAATATACAGGAACATTACATAGGATGTGTTTAAACTATGTTATACTTTAAGGAGAGCTCATGTTAATGTTCGTATACTCATTTTGAAAAATTGACAATAGACCGATCAATTTTTTAATTCGAAGATTCCATCGAATGCTTAAATTTATGTCCTCATTGTAATCATGATCTGGAGGTAAGGTGTTATCTGTATGGGTCGGGAATTTAGAATATTTAACAAGGGGCTGTAGGGAATCCACAGGAGGTATCAGGTTAGAAGACGTGGTGGAAAGTTGAAAAAGAAAGAAGAAGAAAAGAATAAAAAAATAGGGAATAAGTAACCCAAAGAGAGTTTTAATGAACGCAGGGGTGCAATAACTAGGGTGGAAGAAGACGAGGGCCATGCACCGATTGGTTTTAAAAACCATCGATTCAATTGAAGACTGTAGTCACTGTTGCTGTTGTTGTCAGTATCGATGATCATTGCTCTGGTTGTCATTACGGAGTGAGACTGCCGTTAGGCAGCAGTCGTGCAACTATGGGGGATGCATGGGGTAGTGCAACGCTTGTGTGAGTTCTACCGATCTATTCATCAATTGGTAGAACTTGTTTTAGGATATTGTGAAAGTATATACGCTTAGTAACTGTTAATTGCAATTGTTGGAAGTAGATAGTGTGCGTGCAGTGAATCATTTCTGTTTCTAACTTTAATAGTGTATACCTTCAAATTTTTAATAGTCAGGTGCTAGGGAGATGTAGTAGACTTAATTTGTGCTAGTGATTATGATAAATTGAATGATAAATGGTATAATACTTTGCATTGTTTCTGTCGGTATTTACAAATGCCAGTCGTAGGATTTGATTTTTATATTATCGAATAGTATTACGAACAAACATTAAGAATAATTATAATGTTTCCAACGAAGAACTCGAAGATATAACATGTAATAAAAATATGAGAACAATGGAGTATAGTTATAACAAACGATTCTTCAATCTATCACCCCATAGATTTTTTATACCGCAAGTATTCTTACACTTAACTAGATCTATTAGGTTGACAATCATGTATTATAGTCTGTAACATTAATCATAAAATTAGTTCAATCGACGACTTATTTATTTGTTGACATTCTCTTATAATATCCTTTCAGAATTCCACTTTATCACATCATTTGCTGCAACAAATTCAAATATGCGAAACCTGTTTTTATCACCTGAAATGGCAGAATATTTCATGTGAACAGACAACATTGCTATGAGTACAAGTATAGAATAAACTTACACTACCAAAAGTGTAAACGGACATATGAACTAATTTTCCTGCAGTGATATGAACGTTCCAGCAGTGATATGAACGACCACATTTGATCGTGCGATGACCATAATCAAGTCGAGGATTGTTTTACCGGGTAAATAATACCAGTTCGTCATGTAAACGACTTCACCAATTTTCTTGCACTGTTAAGAATTTGTTGAATTAGTCATCACGAATTTGATTTCCAGAATTTATATTACCCCGTATTAACATTAGACCGATGTGTGAAACATGTAGGTGCCAAAGAAATTGAAAAAAATGAATGACATATGAAAAAATCATTCAAATTACCAAAAATGTATCATTGTGAATCTATAAAAGTTATATGAAAAATGATTAATTATTAATTTTGATTACTCGGTTAGTTCTAGAGTTAGAGTGTTAATGTCTCTCTGATACCTGTTCCGTTAATAGTTCACCGATGTAACATATTATGAAAATGTTAAAACAGATTGTAACGAACATCATAAAATACGATGCCAAATTTCGAATATCATGCTCCGCCCATTCCTGAGACAAAATCGTAAAAAGAATAGAACAATTATACAGAAAATGAAAGTTATATCCACTGCGGAAAATAACAGGTAAACGATAAAAGTATAGTAATCATGTACCGATAGAATGTAGTAGCCAATTACGCATATATCCATCGTGCACCTTAACATTTCCAACAAACAGATTTTATTCATCACATCCTCGATATATGATATAAAACTGCAATTAACACGTAATATAATGCAAATGATTACCCTTAAAAGCCACACAAAAAAAGATTTTTAAAAAAACCTTACTTCAATGTCCTCAGATGTCGTTCTACGATTACTCCGATTTGTATAAAACCACCAGTTTTCTTCTCTACTCTGGTTTCATTGACGAATTCAGCGATCCATAACGTAATAACATTTAACTGACCGCATGCGTGAGCAGTTAGAACTGCTGCGAGACTAAAGATGCCAATTGTACTAAAATTTGCGATAACAGTAGACCAGATTTGCAAGAGAAGCATGAATTCGTTTGTTGGAATTTCGTCGACGTTCACCAGCTTCTTATATACTGCACAAGGTAGCACATGTAAAACTCTCGTCTCGTTCGCAATTCGAATCTCTACTGTATTCAATGCTGTCACAAAACAAAAGCACAAGACGCTTGATTGCACAAAAATAGCAGTGAACGCCGCTATGTAGCGACCGATTCTCGCGTTTTTCAACATCACGTGTTGATCTTCCTCTCTGGTCACTGTTCGCCAGTCAGCTTCTATGTATGACACGCACTTTCGTATGTCTTTGTTGTGCATTAGTAAAACCGCGTAATTAAAGCTGCTGACGAACCAATGATTCACAAAACCGAAGGTCTTCAATTTGAAGTTGAACGTCTCGTCTTCCAGAATTATTACTAGTAAACTAGGAATCGCAGTAAGAATCAAGGTGCTAAAGCAAACGATGTTTAAAATAAGTGAAACGATCTTTTCGAGCCTTGTCGTGGAAGGAGACGATGGCCAAGCGCCGATCGGTTTTAAAAACCATCGGTTCAATTGAAGACTATAGTCACTATTTCTCTTGCTGTCACCTTCTGTGATCACTACTTCGGTCGTCATCGCGAAATAATGCCATTGTTAGAAACCCAGCGTCTACATATAGAGGATGTTGGCAGAAGTTCAACGCTTGCGCGAGTTTTTTAGCTATTTGTTCAACTGATCGATTCGTCTAGTCGGTAGAACTTTTTTAGAATACTATGAAAGTATATACGCTTGGAAACTGTCAGTTGCAATCATGTGAAGCGGATAGCGTACATGGAATGAATCTTTCGTGTCCCTAACTTTAACAGCGTGTGTCTTCAAATTTTTAGTGGATGGTGGATAGTGATACGCGGGTATGTTATGTGCTAGGATGTTGCAGTTGATTTAATTTCTGCTAGTGACTATAAGAAATTTTATAATAAATGATACAATAATTTGCAATATATTTGTCGGTATTTAGAAATGCCAGTTCTAAGGCTTGATTTTTATACCATCGAATATTAGTACGAGAAAATCATTATCAGTAATTTTATTGTTTCCAAACAATTAACAATAGATAAAATACAAATATTTTATCAATTATATATTAAACATCTGTGTATTATCGATACTTACGAGGTCAAAGGTCGTGATAGATATTTGTACGATTTTTCCAGCAGTAATTTTGACCACCATACTTGATCTTGAAATAGCCAGGACTAAACCGAGAGCAGTTTTGTGAGGTAATCGGTATCATTCAGTCATATACACTTTTTCCCAAATCTTTCGCCCTGTCGTGTGTTTGATAGTTTGAGGTTTAATATAACTACTGCTTTATTGTTACTTTCTTACCTGTTCAGTAACTATTTCTCCGATATAATAGAATATGAATATATTAAACACCATAGATGCATACAGGAGAACGTATACAATTATCATATTCTTCAATTTTTCCTGAGAAATTAAAATATATGTGTCGTACGAATGCTAGTGCGAATTAAGTAGAAAAGTCAACGTATGAGTCGCGATTCTGTATTTGACGCTAATTTATTTCTGTTAAAAGATATCTCAATGTTTGATTCATTTTAACTCTAACTAGAAGATATTGTGAACACATTTTCAATATATAAATTATTTCTTTCATTTTTATTCTGAAACATACCGTGAGACAATGATGTATGATTAAACACATCTTTATCGTACACCCCACCGACTCAATCAAAAGCTCCTACCGTGACAGTGGTCAAGATGATCCTAGAAAGGATCTACATGGTGAACACGATCTCATTCGTCTGAATCTAATGACCAATAGGTTCGTTTAAACCGGGTGAGACAACGGGTTCATGAAAAAATTACCATTCTCCATACGAAACATCATCTTCTTAAAATCTTTAGTCGCGTTGCATGCTAGAATATCGCTATGCATACCCAGTGCAGAGAGAATATTGCCGAGTGCCAAGTTGAATGAGATTATTCTTTTGGAATTTGTGATAGAACAAATTTAAAAAAACTGTATACTAAAAATTATCTTGTAACATATAAGCTATATAAAAAATTTCCTAAATATTGCATTTTTAATAAGGAGTCAAGGCAACCTTGTCGTGACTTGGTAGAAATAAAATAATCTTCAACGATAATATTTCCTCTGTTTAATCTAATATTTCTAAATTTAGGGTTGTTCCCAGATCAAAGTACAGTATGACGTTGAACTAATCTTAATATGAGTTAAAGTAGTATGAAGACAGGAATACGTAGTTTTATTCAAAACAACAATTTTCAATAAATTTCTTGTTTTGCAAATTCCAGACGGTTGAAACTTAACTAACTTTCATCCAAAACATTTTTCTATCAAATGTTCGGATGTGGTTGAAAAATCTTCGCGATAGTTACATACGTGGTACAACCTGTATCTTTATTACAATTACTGCAGCTTAATTTTTGCTTTCATTTTACACCAGCCAATTAACAGCCAAAATATTTAGAAATGGATATCAAGTTAGATCGAGACAATTTTACTTGCGTAGATATAGATTCCTGTATCGCGATTAGATCTCGTTTCAAATTTTGTTGTAGTCTCACTATCAATGCATTTCAATCGTAATTAAATGCGGAAATAACAAAGTTAAAAAAACAAAGAATTTTTCTGTTTGAAATTTACGACTTCTAGTCTGTTAATTCTTAACGTACAAAGTTTTATGCGATATTTACGTGTATTTTGTACTGTATATACTAAATTATTAAAAACACAATATATTTTTGCAGGATTCTATTTTATTACGTCATTTGCTGCAACAGATTCAAGTATGCAAAACCTGTCTTCACAACCTGAAATGGCAGAATATTTTACGTGAACAAACAATACAGTTATAAGTAGGAGTATCGAATAAACTTACACTACCAAATGTATAAACCGACATATGAACTAATTTTCCTGCAGTGATTTGAACGACTACATTCGATCGTGCGATGACCATAATCAAGTCGAGGATTGTTTTACCGGGCAAGTAATACCAGTTCGTCATGTAAACGGCTTCGCCAATTTTCTTGCACTGTTAAGAATTTGTTGAATTAATCATCACGATTACGATTTGCTTCATTTATATCACTTCATACTAATACTAGGGCGAAGTATGAAACATATAAGTAGCAAAGAACTTAAAATAAAAGACACATGAAAAAACCATTCAAATCACCGAAAATGTACCACTGAATCTATAAAGGTTGTATTAAGAACGATTAATTATTAACTTTGGTTACCCTGCTAATTCTAGAATTAGAGAGTTAATGTGTTGATGATACCTGTTCCGTTAATAGTTCACCGATGTAACATATTATGAAAATGTTAAAACAGATTGTAACGAACATCATAAAATACGTTGCCAAATTTCGAATATCATGCTCTGCCCATTCCTAAGACGAAATCGTAAAAAGAATAGAACAATTATACACAAAATGAAAGTTATATCCATTGTGGAAAATAACAGGCAGACAATAAAAATATGCTAATTATGTACCGACACAATGAAGTAGCCAATTACACATATTTCCATCGTGCATCTTAACATTTCCAAAAAACAGATTTTATTCATCACACCCTCGATATATGATATAAAACTGCAATTAACATTTAATATAATCCAATTGATTGCTCTTAAAAGCCACAGAAAAAAATAATCTAAAAAGAGATCTTACTTCAATGTTCTCAGATGTCGTTCCACGATTACTCCAATTTTCGTAAAACCATCAGTTCTGCTCTCTATTGCGGCTTCATTGACAAATTCAACAATCCATAACATAACAACATTTAGCTGACCGCACGCGTGAGCAGCTAGAACTGCTGCGAGACTAAAGATGCCAATTGTACTAAAATTTGCAATAACACTAGACCAGACTTGCAAAAAAATCATGAATTCGTTTGTTGGACTTTCGTCGACGTTTACCAGCTTCTTGTATACTGCACAAGGTAGCACGTGTAAAATTCTCGTCTCGTTTCCAATTTGAATCTCGAGCGTATTTAGAGCCGTCACGAAACAAAAGCACAAAACGCTACCTTGTACAAAAATTGCGCAGAAAGCTGCTACGTAACGACCGAATTTCGCGTTCTTCATCATCACGTGTTGATCCTCCTTTCTGCTCACTGCTCGCCAGTCAGCTTTCATGTGTTCTACGCATCGTCGTATGTCTTTGTTGTGTAATAACAACACGCTATAAGTAAAGATACTGACGATTAAATGACTCAAGAAATCTAGGCTCTTCAATTTCGAGTTAACGCTCTCGTCTTCTAGAATCATTTGCAGTACACTGGGTATCGCAGTGATAATTACGGTGCTGTAGCAAATGGCGTTTAAAAGAAACGAAATTATCTTTTCTAGTCTTGTGGTGGATGGAGACGATGGCCATGCACCGATCGGTTTCAAGAACCATCGATTCAATTGTAGACTGTAGTCACTGTTGCTGTTGCTATCAGCTTCTATCACCACTGCTTCGTTCGGCATCGCGGAATGAAGTCGTTATTAGAAAGCAGACGTGCGTCAATGGGGGATGCATGGAGGAGTGCAACGCTTGCGCGTGTTTTTTAGGTACTTGTTCTACCGATCGATTCGTCTAGTCGGTAGAACTTGTTTTAGAAAAGTTGAAAAGTATAATCGCTTGGAAATTGTCGGTTGTAATGCTGTGAAGTGGATGGCGTGCGTGCAATGATTCAATACCCTCCCTACGTTAACTGTATATGTTGTAAAATTTTTAATAAGAAGTGGCTAGTCGTCCGTACGTGTGTTAGGTGCTTGGAAGTTATAGCTGTGTTAGTTTGTGCTTGGAAGTTGTAGCTGTTTTAATTTGTGCTTGTGAATTGTTGAATTTCATGATAACGTGATAAATGATATAATAATTTTCATTCTTTGTCGATATTTACAAATGCCAATTTTTAAATTTTGTTTGTAGATTATCGAATATTATTACGAAGTGAGACACGTTATTTATAATTGTAATCTTTCCAATGAAGGATTTCGACAGAGTAGCATTTTACAAAAACGTGAATAAAGTAGAGGAGTGTAGCTATAACGTACGATCTTCGTAAATTTTCTTGTTCTTAATTAGATCTATGAGATTATCAATCATTTTCTTCAATCATTTTTTTTTGTAAAATCTATTGTTATTGAATATTATTAATATTGATTATTATTTACAGATTCGTGTTGGCATCGCAGGGTGTTTGGTCATTGTTCTCCATTCTGAAGTTTTTCAACGCGCCGCTGGGATTCATTCTTCTTGATTTGAATAAGTCACGCGACAAGCATCCGCTCGGTTGGAACACCTGTGACAAGGTTTGTGAACTATGAACTCCAACTATGTACACCGCAGAAACTTCAGAGATCATATTCGTGCTATCTATCTAGATGGTTGAAGGCTAAATAACTTTTATTCAAAACATTTTTGTATCGAATATTCGGATGTGGTTGAAAAATCTTAGCCATAGTTACATACGTAGTTCAACCTGTATTTTTGCTATAATTACTGAAGCTTAATTTTTTCTCTCATTTTACGTCAGTCAATTAACAGTCAAAATATTTACAAGACGATATCAGGTTAGATCGAGACAATTTTACTTGCATAGATATAGATTCCTGTATTGTGATTAGATCTCATTTAAAAGTCTTTTGTAGTCTCATTATTAATTCATTTCAATCGTAATTAAATACGGAAATAACAAAGTTGAAAAAATAAAGAATTTTTTCTGTTTGAAATTCACGACTTCTAACCTGTTTATTCTTAACATACAAAATTTTATGCGCTATTTACGTATATTTTGTATTTTATATTCTAAATTATTAAAGACACAATATATTCCTCCAGGATTCCATTTTATTACATCATTTGCTGTAACAGATTCAAATACGCAAAACCTGTCTTCACAACCTGAAATGGCAGAATATTTTACGTGAACAGACAATACAGTTATGAGTAAAAGTATCGAATAAACTTACACTACCAAAAGTGTAAACGGACATATGAACTAATTTTCCAGCAGTGATATGAACGACCACATTTGATCGTGCGATGACCATAATCAAGTCGAGGATTGTTTTACCGGGTAAATAATACCAGTTCGTCATGTAAACAACTTCACCAATTTTCTTGCACTGTTAAGAATTTGTTGAATTAGTCATCACGATTACGATTTGCTTCATTTATATCACTCCATACTAATACTAGGGCGAAGTATGAAACATATAAGTAGCAAAGAACTTAAAATAAAAGACACATGAAAAAACCATTCAAATCACCGAAAATGTATCATTGAATCTATAAAGGTTGTATTAAGAACGATTAATTATTAACTTTGGTTACCCTGCTAATTCTAGAATTAGAGAGTTAATGTGTTGATGATACCTGCTCCGTTAACAGTTCACCAATGTAACATAGTATGAAAATGTTATAACAGATTGCAATAAACATCATTACATATGATGCCAAATTTCGAACATCATGCTCCGCCCATTCCTAAGATGGAATCGTAAAAAGAATAGAACAATTGTACAGAAGAATAAAGCTATATCCATTGTGGAAAATAACAGGCAGACAATAAAAATATGCTAATTATGTACCGACACAATGAAGTAGCCAATTACACATATTTCCATCGTGCATCTTAACATTTCCAAAAAACAGATTTTATTCATCACACCCTCGATATATGATATAAAACTGCAATTAACATTTAATATAATCCAAATGATTGCTCTTAAAAGCCACACAAAAAAATAATCTAAAAAGAGATCTTACTTCAGTGTCCTCAGATGTCGTTCCACGATTATTCCAATTTTCGTAAAACCACCAGTTCTGCTCTTTACTGTGGCTTCATTGACAAATTCAGCAATCCATAACATAACAACATTTAGCTGACCGCACGCGTGAGCAGCTAGAACTGCTGCGAGACTAAAGATCCCAACTGTACTACAATTTGCGATAAAAGTAGACCAAATTTGCAAGAAAATCATGAATTCGTTTGTTGGACTTTCGTCGACGTTTACCAGCTTCTTGTATACTGCACAAGGTAACACGTGTAAAATTCTCGTCTCGTTTCCAATTTGAATCTCGAGCGTATTTAGAGCCGTCACGAAACAAAAGCACAAAACGCTACCTTGTACAAAAATTGCGCAGAAAGCTGCTACGTAACGACCGAATTTCGCGTTCTTCATCATCACGTGTTGATCCTCCTTTCTGCTCACTGCTCGCCAGTCAGCTTTCATGTGTTCTACGCATCGTCGTATGTCTTTGTTGTGTAATAACAACACGCTATAAGTAAAGATACTGACGATTAAATGACTCAAGAAATCTAGGTTCTTCAATTTCGAGTTAATGCTCTCGTTTTCTAGAATCATTTGCAGTAGACTGGGTATCGCAGTGATAATTACGGTGCTGTAGCAAATGGTGTTTAAAAGAAACGAAATTATCTTTTCTAGTCTTGTGGTGGATGGAGACGATGGCCATGCACCGATCGGTTTCAAGAACCATCGATTCAATTGTAGACTGTAGTCACTGTTGCTGTTGCTATCAGCTTCTATCACCACTGCTTCGTTCGGCATCGCGGAATGAAGTCGTTATTAGAAAGCAGACGTGCGTCAATGGGGGATGCATGGAGGAGTGCAACGCTTGCGCGTGTTTTTTAGGTACTTGTTCTACCGATCGATTCGTCTAGTCGGTAGAACTTGTTTTAGAAAAGTTGAAAAGTATACTCGCTTGGAAATTATTAGTTGCAATGCTGTGAAGTGGATGGCGTGCGTGCAATGATTCAGTACCCTCCCTACGTTAACTGTATATGTTGTAAAATTTTTAATAAGAAGTGGCTAGTCGTCCGTACGTGTGTTAGGTGCTTGGAAGTTATAGCTGTGTTAGTTTGTGCTTGGAAGTTGTAGCTGTTTTAATTTGTGCTTGTGAATTGTTGAATTTCATGATGTGATAAATGATATAATAATTTTCATTCTTTTGTCGATATTTACAAATGCCAATTTTTAAATTTTGTTTGTATATTATCGAATATTATTACGAAGTGAGACACGTTATTTATAATTGTAATCTTTCCAATGAAGGATTTCGACATAGTAGCATTTTATAAAAACGTGAATAAAGTAGAGGAGTCTATAACGTACGATTCTTCGGTCTACCGCCCCATCGATTCTTTAATGTGTAAATTTTCTTGTTCTTAATTAGATCTATGAGATTATCAATCATTTCTTGGAGATTGTAAAATCTATTATTATTGAATGTTATTAATATTGATTATTATTTACAGATTCGTGTTGGCATCGCGGGGTGTTTGGTCATTGTTCTCCATTCTGAAGTTTTTCAACGCGCCGCTGGGAATCATTCTTCTTGATTTGAATAAGTCACGCGACAAGCATCTGCTCGGTTGGAACACCTGTGATAAGGTTTGTGAACTATGAACTCCAACTATGTACACCGCAGAAACTTCAGAGATCATATTCGTGCTATCTATCTAGACGGTTGAAGGCTAAATAACTTTTATTCAAAACATTTTTGTATCGAATATTCGGATGTGGCTGAAAGATCTTAGCCATAGTTACATACGTAGTTCAACCTGTATTTTTACTATAATTACTGAAGCTTAATTTTTTCTCTCATTTTACGTCAGTCAATTAACAGTCAAAATATTTACAAGACGATATCAGGTTAGATTGAGACAATTTTACTTGCGTAAATATAGATTCCTGTATTGTGATTAGATCTCATTTAAAAGTCTTTTGTAGTCTCATTATTAATTCATTTCAATCGTAATTAAATACGGAAATAACAAAGTTGAAAAAATAAAGAATTTTTTCTGTTTGAAATTCACGACTTCTAACCTGTTTATTCTTAACATACAAAATTTTATGCGCTATTTACGTATATTTTGTATTTTATATCCTAATTATTAAAAACACAATATATTCCTCCAGGATTCCATTTTGTTACATCATTTGCTGCAACAGATTCAAATACGCAAAACCTGTCTTCACAACCTGAAATGGCAGAATATTTTACGTGAACAGACAATACAGTTATGAGTAAGAGTATCGAATAAACTTACACTACCAAAAGTGTAAACGGACATATGAACTAATTTTCCAGCAGTGATATGAACGACCACATTTGATCGTGCGATGACCATAATCAAGTCGAGGATTGTTTTACCGGGTAAATAATACCAGTTCGTCATGTAAACGACTTCACCAATTTTCTTGCACTGTTAAGAATTTGTTGAATTAATCATCACGATTACGACTTGCATCATTTATGTCACTCCAAACTAACACTAGGGCAAAGTATGAAATGTGTAGGTACCAAAGAACTTAAAATGAAAGACATGAAAAAATCATTCAAATCACCAAAAATGTGCCATTGTGAATCTATAAAAATTGTATGAAGGATGATTAATTATTAATTTTGATTACTCTGGTTATTTTAGAATTAGAGTGTTAATGTGTTGCTGATACCTGCTCTGTTAATATTTCACCGATGTAACATATTACAAAAATGTTATAACAGATTGTAACGAACATCATAAAATACGAAGTCAAATTTTGAATATCATGCTCAGTCCATTCCTAAGACGGAATAGTAAACAGAATAAAACAATTATACAGAAAAGTAAAGTTACATCTAATCTGGAAGAAATAGATAAACAAGAAATATATATTAATTACATACTGATAAAATGTAATAGCCAGTTACACATATATCCATTGTGCATCTTAGCATTTCCAAAAGATAGATTTTATTCATCACTTCCTCGATACACGATATAAAACTGCAATTAACATATAACATAATCCCGAAGATCAGTACTGAGACGCCAACAAAGAAGGAATAGGGAAAAGGTCTTACTTCAATGTCCTCAGGTGTCGTTCCACGATTGTTCCAATTTGAATAGAACCACCAGGTTTCTTCTCTCCCCTGGCCTCAACAAATTCAGTGATCCATAACATAATAACGTTCAACTGGCCACACGCGTGAGCAGCTAGGACTGCTGCAAGACTAAAAATCCCAATCGTACTAGAATTTGCAATAATCGCAGACCAAACTTGCAAGAAAAGCATGATCTGGTTCGTTGAACTTTCATCGACGTTTACTAGCTTCTTGTATACTGCACAAGGTAACATGTGTAAAACTCTCGTCTCGTTTCCAATTTGAATCTCGAATGTATTTAATGCTGTCACGAAACAAAAGCATAAAACGCTACCCTGCATAAAAATGGCGCAAAAAGCCGCCACATAGCGACCGAATTTCGCGTTCTTCAGCATCACGTGTTGATCCTCCTCTCTCATTAACGTTCTCCAGTCACTTTCCATGTGTTCTATGCACTGTCGTATGTCTTTGCTATGCAACAACAAAGCTGTATAATTAAAGCTGCTAACGATCCAATGGCTCACGAAACCTAGTGTCTTCAATTTCAAATTCATACTCTGATCTTCTAGAATCATTAGTAGTAAACTAGGAATCGCAGTGATAATTACGGTGCTGAAGCAAATGATGTTTAAAACAAATGAAATAATCTTTTCGAGTTTTGTGGTGGAAGGAGACGAGGGCCATGCACCGATCGGTTTCAAGAACCATCGATTCAATTGTAGACTGTAGTCACTGTTGCTGTTGCTATCAGCTTCTATCACCACTGCTTCGTTCGGCATCGCGGAATGAAGTCGTTATTAGAAAGCAGACGTGCGTCAATGGGGGATGCATGGAGGAGTGCAACGCTTGCGCGTGTTTTTTAGGTACTTGTTCTACCGATCGATTCGTCTAGTCGGTAGAACTTGTTTTAGAAAAGTTGAAAAGTATACTCGCTTGGAAATTGTCGGTTGTAATGCTGTGAAATGGATGGCGTGTGTGCAATGATTCATATCCCTTCCTACGTTAATTATATATGTTGTAAAATTTTTAATAAGAAGTGGCTAGTCGTCCGTACGTGTGTTAGGTGCTTGGAAGTTATAGCTGTGTTAGTTTGTGCTTGGAAGTTGTAGCTGTTTTAATTTGTGCTTGTGAATTGTTGAATTTCATGATAAATGATAATAATTTGTATTATTGCTGTTGGTATTTACAAATGTATAAGACTAGCTTTTTTTATCAACGCATAGTATTACGAAGAAAAAATTATTGGTGAAATTAATTTTTCCAATTTCAAAAAAATAATACGTAATAGAAACACGAATATAATGGAGCGTGTCTATAACGGACGGTTCTACAATCTACCGTCCGATAGATTTTTTACTTTGTACGTTTGCTTGGTCTTACGTAGACGTATTATACTGTCAACCATTTATTAGAGTTTACAAAATTGATTATAAGATTATTTCAACCGCCTAATTATTATTATGCTTTAACTCCCCCAATAACATTTTTCCGAGATACCATTTTATTACATTATTTGCTGCAATAGATTCAAATATGCGAAACCTGTCTTTACCACCTGAAATGGGAGAATGTTTAACCTAAACAGACAATACAAGTCTGAGTACTAGTATCAGATTAACTTACATTGCCAAACGTACTAATTGTCATTTGAATCATTTTCCCTGCAGTCAGTTGAACGACCATAGTCGATCGCACGATGATCAAAATTAAGTTGCGGATTTCTTTATTGGGTAAATAATACCAGTTTGTCAAGTAAACGGCATCACCAATTTTCTTGCTCTGTTAAGAATTTGTCGTATTAACCATCACGATTTCGATTTGTTGTATACCACTCTGTATTAACGCTATGACTAAGTATGAGACATGTAAGTACCAAAGAACTTAAAATGAAAGATTCATGAAAAGATCATTCAAATCACCAAAAATTTATCATCGTGAAACTATGAAAGTTACATGATAAATGGTTATTTCTTAATCTCGACTACTTTGATAGTTCTATAATTAGAGAGTTGATATCTCAGTACCTGTTCCGTTAATATTTCACCGATGTAACATATTACGAAAATGTTAAAACAGATTGAAACGAACATCATAAAATACGATGTCAAATTTCGAATATCATGCTCATCCCATTCCTAAGAAGCAATCGTTAAAAGTATAGGACAAATATACAGAAAAATAAATTTATATCTTATGTGGAAAGAAATTAGCAAGCAATAAAAATATAATAAATATGTACCGTTAGAATGTAGTAGGCAATTAGACATATGTTCATCGTACATCGCAACATCTCCAATAAATATATTTTGTTCATCACAACCTCGATACACGATATGAAACTGCAATCAACACGTAATATAATACCAATGATCACTCTCGAAACAACAACAAGAAAAAACGAATTAACAATAGATCTTACTTCAACGTCCTCAGGTGTCGCTCCACGATTACTCCAATTTCCTGAAAACTGCTAGTTCCCTTCTGTTTTCTTGTTTCCTTAACAAATTCGGTAATCCACGCCATAATCACGTCCAGTTGACCACACGCGTGAGCAGCTAGTACAGCTGCGAGACTAAAAATTCCAACTGTACTGGAGTTCGCGATAAGAGCAGACCAAATTTGCAGGGAAAGCATGATTTCGTTTGCCGGACTTTCATCGACGTTCACCAACTTCTTGTATACTGCACAAGGCAGCAAGCGTAAGACTCTTGTCTCGTTTCCAATCTGAATCTCGACCGTAGTTAACGCTGTCACGAAACAAAAGCACAAAATGCCACCCTGCATGAAAATAGCGCACGAAGCAGCTACATAGCGACCGAATTTTCCGTTTTTCATCATTACGTGTTGATCCTCCTCCCTAGTCACTGATCGCCAGTCAGCCTCTATGTGTTCTACGCATTGTCGTATGTCTTTGCTGTGTAATAACAAGGTACTATAATTAAAGCTGCTGACGAACAAATGACTCAAGAAATCTAGGGTTTTCAATTTCAAGTTAATGCTCTCGTCTTCTAGAATGAGTAGCAATACACTGGGAATCGCAGTGATGATTACGGAGACGAAGCAAACGATGTTTAAAATAAATGAAACGATCTTCTCCAGTCTTGTGGTGGATGGAGACGATGGCCATGCACCGATCGGTTTCAAGAACCATCGATTTAATTGAAGACAGTAGTCGCTGCTGCTGTCAGCTTCTATGATCACTGCTTCGTTCGACATCGCGGAGTGAAGTTGTTATTAGAATGCAGCCGCGCGTCAGTGGGAGATGCATGGAGCAGCGCAACGCTTGCGCGTGTTTTTTAGGTACTTGTTCTACCGATCGATTCGTTTAGTTGGTAGAACTTGTTTTAGAAAAGTTGAAAAGTATACTCGCTTGGAAATTGTTAGTTGCAATGCTGTGAAGTGGATGGCGTGCGTGCAATGATTCATATCCCTCCCTACGTTAACTGTATATGTTGTAAAATTTTTAATAAGAAGTGGCTAGTCATCCGTACGTATGTTAGGTGCTTGTAAGTTATAGCTGTTTTAATTTGTGCTTGTGAATTGTTGAATTTCGTGATAAATGATATAATAATTTTCGTTCTTCTGTCGATATTGACAAATGTCAATTATAAAACAGCATTTGTACATTATGGAATAGTGTTACGAAGACGTTATTTATAATCACATGGAACACGTTATTTATAATCATAATGTTTGCAATGAACGATTTCAATAGCTTTTTATAAAATTGCTTTTTATAAAAACATGAAACAATAGAAGAGTATAACTATAATGTACGATTCTTCGGCTTACCGCTCCATCAATGTTTTAGTTCGTAAGTGATCTTGTTCTTAACTAGATCTATTAGATTGACAAACGTTTATCATAGGTTTTAAAATAGATTATTATATTTGTTAGATCATTACGTATTACCATTATTTGTATTTCAAATTCTGCAACAGCATTTACAAACAATTGCACAACTAACAAATTCATTCCTTAGAAACGTATTTAATCACATCATTTATCGTAATAAATTCAAATACTCGAGACCGATTTTTACTTGGTACGATAGAATATTTCGCGTGAAATATTCTAGTTAACGATTTGATATTTTACGTTCTGTAGTAACCGTTCCTGATAGAAACAAGAGGTAAGAATTCGTTGAGCGAATCGGCATGCGATCGCGAGGGATTACAATTTCCGGAGTAGTAGAGAGACAATATTAAACACCATGGACGTATACACGATAGCATATGCAATTCCAGTATCGATTTTTGCCGAGAAATTACATAGAGAAGACACCAGAAGATATTGTTGAAACATTTTCAACATATAAATTATTTTGTTTCTATTTTGAAACACATATTCAACGTACAACATATAATACAATAGCTTGCACTTATCTTAAAAGGATATCTGGCTCAAGTACAAATAATAATCAGCGAGAAGGTGAATAATCAACATATTCTCACTAATGTCGTCAAATAATCTGTCTCAGCTAACGAGACATATACGTGTGTATAAATAACAATACAATAACCAATAAATACCTTAATGTGTGCAGGTGATGCTCCACAATAATTCCTTTCTCTTCTTTCTATTCCTCCTTGACCTTCGTATCCGCCAAACTATCGAACCTGGCCATTACCACGTTCAATGGACCATTTGTATGGATCGCTAGGATAGCGACCAAGCAATAAGCTTCCACATCACGATGATCCCAAAAAGAGTCTGTACAATGAGCACGATGTCATTCGTCGGGCTGAATCTAACGTCCAACAGATTTATCCAAATCGGACAAGGTAACGAACACATGAAATAACTGTCATTCGCCACATGAAACACAATCTTCTTAAAGGCTTCAGTTACATTATAGATCAGAACGCCACTATACGTGCACAATGCAGCTACGAAAACAATGGAACGTCCGATTCTCGCGTTTTTCAACATCAATTCGCGATCGTTGGCATTTTTAACGACCTGCTAGTCGAGTTCCGTGTGTTTTATGCAACGGACCAATAGTCTTGATCCTCGTCTTCGAGCTGCCAGCGTCGTACACTTGGATAGTATATTCGATATCACGAGGGTAAAAAGTGTTAAATATCGGTGGTTCACTAGACAAGTCTACCATGATTACTTCGCGGAGATCGTTTGTCGACTGAAACCCTCAAGTTTCAAGTTTAATGCTATGGTAAAATGGCACGTGTGCGAGTTTCTTTTCGACCGCTTGTCGCCATGGTGCACCTGTTACCGTTCAAAGGGTTCGAGCCCTTCGGAGTTCTTGCTTGTACTGCATGTAATACTTCATGCTTTATTTACGATTTTAGTACCACAGAATTCATGATGTTGAGGGTCATGGATTAATTGATTTTTTTTTTAGTGTCAGCGAATATGCTGCCTATTTTGCAGCAGGTCGAAGAAATCACTTTCTAGGGGATGAATTTCCATTCGTGAAAACTTGTCATGTTTCTTAGGGTACTTTCTGTTGTATATAGGTAAAACTAGAAACTAAGAAGCGTCACACATTATCGCCATAGCACATACTAGATATTCTCACGAGCATATGATGGCTCTTAATGGACTGTTTGTTTTTTTATATGTATAACACAAATTCGATTATTTGATTACGTTGACCAAGAAGGAAAATATTCATTATAAAAATCCCGCGAAAAGTATTTGAAAGGTAATGAAACTATATTAATCAATTGAAATACAAATACATCGTGCAAGAATTTAATACATCAGTTATACGTTAGTTCTAGAATTATATTTTTCATATTTGTGAAAGATTTTCTATTTAAATCGCTAAATATTCATATATACGCATTTCCGTATAGAAAAAAAAGCAAAAAATGATATAATCAACGAGGATACAGACCTAAAAAGTTCGTAGATTCATGGTTCAAAGGTTCGTAGCTCAAAGGTTAAAAAATCTCAAATATAGCACATCGTATTCTACTGATAAAAAATATTAATCATGATTGTGTTACCACTGTATTCAAATTTGTATTGTATTTCAAACTTTACATCACCTACAGAAATATTCAAATAGAAAATCCGACAAAATCGTTAAATCCGTCAAAATTTAATCACGTCATTTGTCGTAACAGGTTCAAATATGCGAAACCAGTCTTTACCACCTGTAACAACAAAATATTTCACGTGGGCGTACATACATATACAGGAGAGTAAATACAAGAGACAAATTGACATACATCACCGAATGTGTATACAGACATGTGAACCAATTTTCCAGCAGTGATATGAACGACCATGCTCGATCGCGCGATGATCAAAATCAAGTCGAGGATTATTTTATCGGGTAAATAATACCAGTTTGTCATATAAACCACCTCCCCAACCTTTTGGCACTGAGAACAGTTTATTTAATTAGTAGGGATCACGATTTTGATTTTTCGTATTTATATTATTTGATATTAATATTTACATCACTTGACAATAACATTAATATTAAAACTACAAATGGCTATAATATAAAACGCGCAAGAAAGATACCAAAAGAGAGATATATGAAAAGAAAAGATCATTCATGTTATCGAAAATGCATAGTTGCAAATCCATAGAATTTCTATTCAAAATTATCAATTATTCATTTTGGCTATAGTGGTAGTTTTGGTGTTAACGACTCTCAAATACCTGTTCTGTCAATATTTCACCGATGTAGCATATTACGAAAATATTAAAACAGATTGAAATGAGCATCATAAAATACGTAAATAAATTCTGAATATCGCGGTCAGCCCATTCCTAAAAAGAAATCGTACAGTGAATAACATAATAATAAGCAAAATTGAACCCTGAATGTGATTTGGAAAAACAGACAAATAATAATAATATATTTAATACGTACCGAAAGAATATAGTAGCCAATTACACATATATCCATCGTACACCTGAACATCTCTAAAAAATATATCCTGTTCATCACATCCTCGATGCACGAGATAAAACTGTAATTAACGCATAATGTAGTACCAATGATCGCTCTTGAAACAACCAACAAAAAGAAAGAATTAAAAATAGATCTTACTTCAACGTCCTCAGGTGTCGCTCTACGATTACTCCAATTTTCCGAAAACTACTAGTTTCCTTTTGCTCTCTTGCTTCCTTAACAAATTTAGTAATCCACATCATAATTACGTCCAATTGACCACACGCGTGAGCAGCTAGCACAGCTGCGAGACTAAAAATTCCAACCGTACTAGAGTTCGCGATAAGAGCGGCCCAAATTTGTAAAAAAAGCATGATTTCGTTTGCTGGACTTTCATCGACGTTCACCAACTTCTTGTATACTGCACAAGGTAACACGTGTAAGACCCTCGTCTCGTTTCCAATTTGAATCTCGGTTGTAGTTAACGCTGTCACAAAGCAAAAGCACAAAACGCCACCCTGCATGAAAACGGCGCACGAAGCAGCTACGTAGCGACCGAATTTCGCGTTCTTCATCATCACGTGTTGATCCTCCTCCCTAGTCACTGTTCGCCAGTCAGCTTCAATGTGTTCCACGCAATGTCGTATGTCCCTGCCGCGTATTAACAAAGCCGTGTAATTGGCGCTGCTGACGAACCAATGACTGACAGGTCCCAGTGTCTTCAGTTTCATGTAAATGCTTTCGTCTTCTAGAATCATTAGTAACAGACTAGGAATCGCAGTGACGATTACGGAGGTGAAGCAAATGATGTTTAAAATAAATGAAACAATCTTTTCCAGTCTTGTGGTGGATGAAGACGATGGCCATGCTCCGATCGGTTTTAAGAACCATCGATTCAATTGAAGACTGTAGTCACTGTTGCTGTTGCTGTCGCCTTCTGTGATCACTGGTTCGTTCGTCATCGCGAAATGAAGCTGTTGTTAGAAAGTAGCCGTGAATCAATGGGGGATGCACGGAGCAGTGCAACGCTTGCGCGTGTTTTTTAGGTGTTCGTTCAATTAATCGATTTGCCTAGTCGGCAGAACTTATTTTAGAATAGTATGAAAGTATATGCTCTTGAAAATTGCTAGTTGGTATCGTGTGAAGTGGATGGTGTGCATGCAATGACTCATTCGTGTCTCCAACTTTTAGAGTGTATGTTCTGAAACTTTTAGTGGAAGATGGGTTGTGATACGTAATTGTGTTATGTGTAATTATGCTTGTAATTATAATAAATTTTATAGTAAATAATAATTTTCATTACTTCTGCCGGTATTTACAAATACCGATTTTAAGACTACATATCTATATTACCGAACCTTATTACGAATAAAATTACGAATAAAATTGAAATCATTATTAGCAAAATTACAGTGTTACACTGTAGTCGCAACTCTGATATTTGATCTGATATTGTCGTACGAACACCGTCTGATACTTAATTCGATACTGTTTGAAGACTCTCAATGAAAGTATAAAATTAAGGAACAGTATATAGATATTGATAAAATCATAAGACATTAAAATGTGTCACCAATGTTTGTATTTCAAACTCTACAATTTCATCTACAATAGCATATAAGTAAGAAATTCATTAGAAGTGCATTCAGTCATGTCATTTGACACAGTATATTAAGATACGCGAAGGCCAATCTCATCACCTGGAATAGCAAATTTTTTAGTCTGCAAAGAAAGATACATATTCGTAGATACATACAATAATGTGACTTACATCAGCGAACGTGTGTATGGACATGTGAATTAATTTTCCTGCAGTGATTTCAATGACCACACTCGATCTTGCGATGATCAAAATCAACTCAAGGATTCTTTTCCTGGGTAAGAAATACCAATTTGTCATATAGACTATCTCACCAACTTTCATGCACTGTCAACAATTCGTTAGATTAGTCGTGGATTCCACGGTTTTGATCGCTAGACATCTTCGCGTTAACGTGTCTCTGGTACCTGTTCTATTAGCACTTCGCCGATATAACATAATACAAATGTATTGAAAGTGAGTGATGCGCATATTACGAAATAAGAAGTGAGGCTTCGAACATCATGATCGGACCATTCCTAGAAATAAGTACATTCAAATCTTCTGAAAAGATTTCGAATTTTATCAGCATTAATCGTTTGTTACCGAAGATTATAATACGATATGAGTAGGTTGCGATTTTTGATGCATTGATGCGACATTTATGAAGAAGTGCGCATAATTAATATAATATCCACAAATACATAAAATATCCAATATAAAGTAGTAGTTAGAAACTTCAGTGAAACAAATTTCTATTTAAATTCGTGCGTGGGTAACAACATTTTGCACAAAATAGTTTGAATATGAAGCTATCGTCATACATACAGGATGATCCATCTTTTTATACGAAGCCTTGTTAATATGTTTTGTGCGTATATGAGCATATAAGAAAATACTGTTATGTGGATATAAGTTTTGTGGTGTTTCATTAGAATGTAACAAAAATTGAAAATATAAATAGAACAATATCTGGACCTATGGTGTGTCTGCCGAAAGCAAGAGCAAGTAAAACTCAAACTTTTTTGTATCAACGGTGCGAACGATTTATGACACTCGTGCCTGGGAGAAAATTTTCTCAGTCCTCTATCCTTCGCTTTGGTTAGTTTCACGTGTATTATTTTTCTGTCCAAGTTTTTCCATCAGCCTCAATAGCATTTGCGAGGGTAATAAATGTCGAGTTTCTGAAGGACTCACCTGTCGAAAATCTGGTTATTAAAGATAGATCGCATCAAGCGGCTCTGACCAGAAGAAGTTTCTCTGCGTCATCAAATGTAGAGAAACAGGTTTATCCGCCAAGTCGTACTGCGATCTGAAAGAAGCGCGCTAAGGGTGCAGAGAGTACGGAGTGCAACGAGAACAATAGGCAAATCCCTAACTAGCCGAACTAGCATAGGAGTCAGCCAATTAGGTGAAAAAAGAAAGTGTCTTTGGACCTCGAGAAGGGTGGATTAACTGCAGAGGCGACTAGTAAGAAAAATAATTCGATCAGGTACGCCCGAAGAAAAGTTTGTACTCCGTTAACGAATGAAAGATACTACTACCGATTTATTGTGAAGTGACAACACGTCTCATATCGTTCATAGGTCTTTTATGTGTATTGTGCGTTGAATGAAAAGATATATCAAAGAAGGCATAATTTCTGATTGATTCGTTGAGATAAAACAAAATCAAAATGAACTTCATAGGGTAATAAATTCAATACTTTATCAATAATAGGAACGATAAACATTTTGAAATGGGATATTAGCAACTAGTAATAGTCATCGTACATATGGTTTCTTTCGTATTTCATATTTTTGACATCACTTCTTAAGAATATCAAGTAGTTTCTTTAGCTATTCCTATAAAACATGGCGAAAAAGCACACACACAAGAGCCCAGCGCACCTTACACATATGTACGTAGTATAAAGTATTTGCGAGGGTAATAAATCTCGAGTTTCTAAAGGGCCCACCTGTCGAAAATCTGCTTATTAAAGATAGATCGCATTAAGCGGTTCTGACAAGAAGAAGTTTCTCTGCGTCATCAAATGTAGAGAAACAGGTTTATCCGCCAAGTCGTACTGCGATCTGAAAGAAGCGCGCTAAGGGTGCAGAGAGTACGGAGTGCAACGAGAACAATAGGCAAATCCCTAACTAGCCGAACTAGCATAGGAGTCAGCCAATTAGGTGAAAAAAGAAAGTGTCTTTGGACCTCGAGAAGGGTGGATTAACTGCAGAGGCGACTAGTAAGAAAAATAATTCGATCAGGTACGCCCGAAGAAAAGTTTGTACTCCGTTAACGAATGAAAGATACTACTACCGATTTATTGTGAAGTGACAACACGTCTCATATCGTTCATAGGTCTTTTATGTGTATTGTGCGTTGAATGAAAAGATATATCAAAGAAGGCATAATTTCTGATTGATTCGTTGAGATAAAACAAAATCAAAATGAACTTCATAGGGTAATAAATTCAATACTTTATCAATAATAGGAACGATAAACATTTTGAAATGGGATATTAGCAACTAGTAATAGTCATCGTACATATGGTTTCTTTCGTATTTCATATTTTTGACATCACTTCTTAAGAATATCAAGTAGTTTCTTTAGCTATTCCTATAAAACATGGCGAAAAAGCACACACACAAGAGCCCAGCGCACCTTACACATATGTACGTAGTATAAAGTATAAAGATAGCTTGATATCGTATTAAGTTGTCCCAATAGTTTCTTTCGATTTATACGAAATATTAGATAGGCAACATTTTTTGACTTGTGTTATTTTATTGAACTATGTATGATGCATTTTGTTCTTTTGAAATAAAGAAAACAACATTTGACAGATTAAGTTTCATGTTTATATAAAGATGCATTGTTGTAAGACATTTTTGTTGAAAAACACTTTTGGGACACAAAGAAAGACACACTTCTGGGACAACCTAATATTATGCAATGTCAGTTTAAAAAATTAGTTAACATAATAAGCACTACATATGTTTGATGTTCCATATGTACCGTAACGATATAATACCCAACCATGCATATTGCCAAAACGCATCTAAACAACTCTATCATGCATACCCAGCTCATTATTTCCTCTATACGTGCTATAAAACTGCAATTAACACCAATAAATAATCATCAATAAAAAAGTCATTGTCAAGGAATTAATCAAAATGATATAAGAATCTTACTCTAGTATTCTCAGATGATGTTTTACGATCGTTTCAATTTTTCTAAAAGAAGCATCCTGCTTTCTGTTTCCAGCTTCATTCACATAGTCATTGATCCAAATCGTTAACACGCCCAGTTGACCGCAAGCATGTGAGGCCAAGACACTCGCGAGGGTGTAAAATGCAATTCCACTGGAGTCGGCGATGAAAGCCGATAGAAACTGCACTACGAGGACTATTTCGTTCGCGGGACTCGTGTCGACTGGGATCATCTTGTTGTAAACATCAAAAGGTAACGTACGTATGGTCCTTGTTTCGTTGCCAACTTTGATGATCTGCACATTGGATGCACTTACTATACAGTAAGACATGATACCACTATGCACGAAGATCGCGCACATAGTCGACACGTATCGGCCAAACTTCGCGTGTTTCAACATTACTTGTTGCTCGTCCTCTTTCTTCACCATTCGCCAGTCAGTTTCAATGCGTTCCACACAGTCACTGATATTTCTGCCCCGAAACAGCAGGTTCGTGTAATTGATTCCACCGAGAAATGAATGAGTCAGAGGACCAAATACTTTTACTTTTCTATAAAAACTATCACCTACGAAGATTAAATGAGCGACGCAAGGAATTATGTTGAACAGTATAATGACGTAGCAGAGAACGATTAAAAACAAGGAAATGACTCTTTCGCGTGTCGACGTAGTGGAGAAATATGGCCAGGCACCGATCGGTTTTAATATCCAACGATTTATTTGTAGACTGTAATCGCTATGACTCTTGGCGTTCGCTTTTATCATCACGGATTCGCTCATCGTGGCTTCTCATCGATGTCCCGGTAACTATTGAATTGCCTTTCTTACAGGAGAATAACAGCACGAAGTTGTTGAACGCCTGCGCGAATTTTTTTCCGTAGTATTATAGCCGATCGATTTGTCTAGTTGTTAGAATTTGTGGTAAGACAACAAATGTAGGTTTGGAAGTTGCTTTAGAAAGTTGTGAATAATTGCAAGAATCGAAGAGCACGAAGCACGCAATGCTTCTTGCGGTTCACGAGATCGAATTGGATTTGGTCGGGGCAGGGAAGAATTTATGAAATCGATTCTTTAGACTGTTGGAAGATTGTGTCGAAACGAAATAAGTGTTAACTTGTACCGTTGCTAGTTTCAAACTTAAGGGATGGAAATATTCCTTCGGTATCTGCACGATAAAATTTGTAACTCTGTTAGGAATGAAATTTATAAAGCTATTTACTGTAACACTAAAAGTATTAATCACATTACAAATACAATTATACATTTAATGTAAATACTTCCATTCTGGTATCGCCGGTCAACAGTGGCCACTATGACGTCATTGGAAAGTCACTTGTGGCAATCAGTATGTTAATGATGCGATATAATATCATTCTTTTTGCTGCATGATACATTTTATACCTGCCTCAGAACGATGGAGAAGTCCGTCAGAACTTTCAAGTATTGGAATAGATGTGGAATTGAGAAGATAGTAATGCGGGGAAAATAATGAGTAGCGAAAGGAACAAGTAGGAATATAAGAAATATAAAACACACGTATATGTACATTAAATATATAAAGTTCCAGTGCATTAGATGCAGGTTTTGTGTTGCTATTGTTTGTATTCTAAATTTTATAATATCGTTTACAAAAAGTTACACAATTAAAAAATTAATTAGTAATGTATTTAATTATGTCATTTGTCGTAAGAGATTCAAATACGCGAAACCGGTCTTTACCACCTGAAATGAGAATACTTCATGTAAACGGACACACAGATATAAATAAGAGGATCAAAATGACTTACATCACCGAATGTGTAGACAGACATGTGAACCATTTTTCCAGCAGTGATTTGAACGACCACACCCGATCGCGCGATGATCAAAATCAAGTCGAGAATTGTTTTATCGGGTAAGTAATACCAGTTTGTCATATAAACTACTTCACCAACCTTCTTACTCTGTGAAAAATTGAATTTCGTTAGTCGTTATTACGATTTTGATATGTTGCATTTATGTCAAAGATTAATTTGCGCCTGGTACCTGTTCTGTCAATATTTCACCTATGTAACATATTAGAAAAACGTTGAAACCAATTGAAATATATATCATAATATACGTAACCAGGCTTTGAACGTTTTGATCAGCCCATTCCTGGAAGTGTCACACAAAAGGTATTATATATAAAAATAGTTTTAGCAAAAATAGTTATATATAAAAACTAATTTACAATGACTCCAAAAAGTATCTGCACATCATTTTCCAATGAAGCGCCCTTTTAATGGAGTTGTGTATTTCATTTCGTTTATTAAAGTTTTTATTATATGAAAGTAGCATTGAATGATAGGAAATTTATCATACTTGAATCTAATTAATTAATATGTAAATGTTATAATACGTGCAATGGGGTGCGAATATTTTTTGTGATCAGTGTGGATTTGACATTGAGGGAGAATGCTTGACGTATACCGAAAGAATGTAGTAACCCAGTATGCATATGTTCATGGTGCATCTAAATATCTCTAAGAAATATACTCGGTTCATCAACTTCTCGATGTATCCAATGAAACTGCAATTATCACGTAACATAGTCACAAAGTTCACTAACACGAATCCAGCAAAAAAGAATACGAATAATCTTACTTTAGCGTCCTCAAGTGCCGCTCCACGATAACTCCTATGCCCTTAGGACCATCTGTCTTCTTCGGTTCGTTCACGAATTCAGTGATCCATACCATAACTACATTCAGCTGACCGCACGCGTGAGCAGCTAGAACAGCTGCAAGACTGAACATTCCAACTGTACTGGAGTTCGCAATAATAGTACACCACGCTTGCAAGAAGAGCACGATTTCGTTCGTTGGACTTTCATCGACGTTTATCAGCTTGTTGTATACTGCACAAGGTAACACGTGTAAAATCCTCGTCTCGTTTCCAACTTGAATCTCCACTGTATCCATTGCTGTGACGAAAATAAAGCACATAACGCCACTCTGCATGAAAATAGCGCACGAAGCTGCTACATAGCGACCGAATTTCGCGTTCTTTAACATCACCCATTGATCCTTCTCTCTGGTCACTGTTTGCCAGTCAGCTTCCATGTGTTCCATGCACTGACGTATATCTTTGCTCCGAAGTAGTAAAGTAGTGTAATTCGCGCCACTGACGACCCAATGACTCACGGGACCTAGAGATTTCAGTTTCAAATAAATACTCTCGTCTTCTAAAAACATGCGTACCAAACA